TGAGTTAATTTTAATTGGAAGTTATAATAATAAAAATCAGTCGGTTTCCCGTGTGAAAACCGAGTCAACTCAATTGCCAATAATTCCCTAACTCATCTTAAGTCAAAAGACTCTAATAAAAACTCTTAATTGTCAATTAATTTTATTGAATCGGGCCAACTTTAGGCTTTATCTCCAACCAACATAGTACCTTGCCACCACCAAGAGACAAAATACTCAACTATTATATGTAGCAAATGGATTGGACGACGACTTTCTAGGTAGAAAAAACTCATTGCCAGTTGCCGCTCACCACCGCCTCCGCCGCCGCAATCCAATTAGCACACACACAATGGGATGTGGGAATTTGTTCTTCACTTTAGTAATAACTTTATCAGCGGCACTGATCACATACAACATAATAATATCTGCAAATGCATCGCTCAAGCAAGAATTCCCTGGCCCTTCAAACCCTTCATTGGGCTCATCATCATTTTCAGTGGACCCCATCATCAGGATGCCGAGGGACACGTCATCATCGGCCTCTAAGAAAACTAAGAGGCTGTTCCACACAGCAGTCACTGCCTCAGATTCAATCTACAATACTTGGCAGTGCAGGGTGATGTACTACTGGTTCAAGAAACAGAAAAATAAACCAAATTCTGAGATGGGCGGCTTCACAAGAATTTTACACTCTGGAAAGTCTGATCGCTTCATGGATGAGATTCCCACATTTATTGCCCAGCCACTTCCCTCTGGAATGGATCAGGTTTTTGTTTTGTTTTTTAATCTTTCGATTATATTGGTATTGCTAAAATTCAGTTAATGATTACTTCGAAAAATGAGCTGAATTTTGTGTTCCCAAGTGGGATGTTTGTGTTGTATACTAATTATTTATTTTTCCTTGAAATGTTTTAACTTTATATATCTTGATTAGATTGCTTTGACTAAGAGTCTAAGCTGAAAATGTAAACTTGCAGATTCTCTAGGTTTTAAATAGTTGTGGTTATAAATAGACAGTTGTTTAGGATTTAGAACTGAATGTGCAAAATAGACTTATTTTCAATTATTACTCTCCCTCTTTATTGCATTTTTTGATTAATGCCTTCGTGTTTCTGAGGAAAGCAATATGAACTTTGATTTACTCCTTAAGAAGACAAAACACATTTGCCAAAGTTGTAATCAGTACATGTATATAATGGGTTGTCGGTTGCTTATCTATTGAGCTATTCTGTGGG